TGTCTGGGATATGGAGGTGGAAAACATTGTTATGTCAGGTTCTGAAATGGGTAGACAGGCTTCCCTGATGACTTACCCTTCTCTCCAGCAGTGGCTGAAAACTGCCTGTCACACCTCAAGGAATCAGGTGCTTCCTGATTGGCTGACAGCAACTGTCAGGGCATTTTGGCCTAATCAGAGTGATTTACCATACTTACCCAATAGCTGGAAAATGTCTGCAGGGCTACAGCAGGTGTTATGGGAGCTGGGCATGAAAAATAACATCTATAATATGGACCCCCAGGGCCCCGATGAGTTGTTCACCATAGGAATGAGAAATCTGGTGCTCCATACAGCTACCCCCATCTCTCTTTGGGTACCTAATGACTATTCATGCCCCCCACATAAGGCAACCCATAGTGAGGCTACTCATACTTTAGCAGATCTGGGGTAAGAGCACAGAAGGAAGTACTGGCTACCATTGAAAGAAGAGGAGCAAAGGGCCCCATGAAGGTCTCAAGAACCCAGGTGTGGGTTGATTTGATAAAGGCGGGGGCAGGGAAAGAAAAACTTGATGGGCAGCCCAATAGTATCTTGTTAGAAGTGTGGCACCAATTAAAGCCAGAGCAGCAGTTCCATTCACTGAGGTCCACCTGCGTGGAGGCAAAGCCCCAGGTCTGGCCTGTGTCCCTGCAAGACTTCCTAGAGGACAGTACTCAGGCTGCACCTGGGTCTCCACCCCACAGCATGACGACTGGGTATCACAGTTTGACTGAGGAGAGGGTCAAGGCCCCCACCTTGTGAGACATGATGGGTACCAGAGGCCACTTGCAGAATTAGCAATTCATTGGTCCCCTGTGAATGTACAAAGTGTCCTGGTGGTGGTGGACACAGGAGCTGAATGTTCTCTGATTTATGGCAACCCTGAGCGTTTTCCTGGGACTGCTGCTGTGATAGATGACTATGGGGGTAAGGCAATTAGAGTGAAGAAAGCCCAAATCCCATTGGGGGATAGGGCATGTATCCCCAAAGGAGTACAGTGTGTACATTTCTCCCATCCTGGAATATATTTTGGGGGTAGACATCCTGCAGCACCGGTTAACAGACAGCTGCAGGGGAGTTCAGACTGAGGATACATGTGGTATAGGTAGTTCTGAGGGGACATGCTAAGCACCCACCTGTAGCTCTTCCTGTACCTTGGTGAGTAACAAATACTAAGCAGTAAAACTGCCTGGTGGGTACAAGAAAATCGGAGAAACTCTACAGGAGTTGGAGATGGTGGGCATCATAAAGCCCACTCATAGTCCTTTTAATTCCCCAGTGTGGCCAGTGAAAAAGCCAAATGACTCCTGGTATATAACCATGGATTACAGGGAATTGAATAAAGTCACACCCCCTTTGCATGCTGCTGTCCCCTCTATAGCAGCCCTTATGGACACCCTCAGTCACAAGCTAGGGACATATCATTATGCTGTGAACCTTGCTAGTGATTTCTTATCAATTCACATAGCACAGGAGAGTCAGGAATAGTTTGCCTTCAAGTAAGAAGGCTGACAGGGGACATTCATTGTCCTTCCACAGGAATACCTCCACAGTCCCACTATTGTAGCCCAGGACTTGGCCACATGGAAGAAACCACAAACGGTACAGCTGTATCACTACATTGATGATATTATGCTAACATCTGATTCTCTTGCAGATTTAGAAGGGGCAGTTTCTAGACTGCTGCAGCCTCTACAGGAGAAAGAATGGGCTGTGAATAGCACCAAGGTTCAGGAACCTGGTTTGTCTGTAAAATTCTTGGGGGTTTTCTGGTAGGGTAAAACTAAAGTTATCCTGGAAGCAGTCATAGACAAGGTCCAGGATTTCCCTACCCCTACCACTGTGGCAGTATTACAAGACTTTTTGGGTCTTTTGGGCTACTGGAGAGTGTTTATCCTGCACTTGGCACAAATTCTGAAGCCCTTATACTGGTTGGTACAAAAGGGCCTCAGGTGGCACTGGGATGAAACATGTGCAGCTGCTTTTACTGCTGCTAAGTGAGCAGTCAAGGCCATACAGGCCTTTAGTGTAATGGACTCATCAAGGCCCTACAAGCTAGATGTTCATGTCACTGAAGATGGCTATGGATGCGGTCTTTGGCAGCGGCTTGAACGGACATGCCAATCTATTGATTCTGGTCACAACTACGGAAAGGAGCAGAGGTCCTGTACACCTTGATAGAGAAGCAACTGGCTGCTGTGTACCATGCCTTGCTGGTACACAGAACAGCTCTGACCAAGGTAATAACCACTTTGGTAATAATAGCCCATCACGGGGTGGGTGTGAGATTGGACACAAAGGCCATGGAGTGGCACGGCACAAAGGCCTACACTGGCCCAATGGGGTGCATATTTACAGCAGCGTAGTGCTCTCTCTACTAGCCTCTTAAGTGGAGAACTCCAATGCTTATTGGGGCCAGTGGTGTATAGCAGTGGGGAGCAGGAAGAACTTGCTTTTGAGCCATTGGTAGGTAAGAGTCCTTCTCAGTAGGAAAAGGCCCTTATATCTGAAGAATCAAGTATACAGATGGCTCTAGTCATAGGGAGCCCCTGAAGTGGAGGGCTGTGGCTTTCTATCCTAAGACTGAGATAATATGGAAGGAGGATGGAGAGGGGAAGAGCAGCCAATGGGCTGAGTTGTGGGAAGTATGGCTTGTGATCTCCCAGGAGCCTTCCTCTATAGTTGTCTGCACTGACAGCTGGGCCATCTATCGGGGCTTGACCTGTGGCTACCTACATGGTACCATGACAACTAGATGGTTGGTCACCGGCCCCTTTGAGGGCAAGGGTTGTGGCAAGAACTACGGACCTCTGGTCAAACTAAGACAGTTACCATATTGTCATGTGACTGGCCATTTGCCTTTGGCATCCCCCAGGAATGATAAAGCAGACACATATTGTCCCAGGTGCATTGGCTAGAAGGAAAGCCTGCTTCTGATATAGTCCAATGGTTACATCAGCATTTGTTGCACAGGGGGCAAAGACAATGTGGGCTGTAGCACATTGGTGGGGCTTGCTGTTGAACGTGGAAGGAGTGCCCTGTGTGCTCTAAGAGGGACTTAACGGTGAGCCCCACAGCAACATGGGAAAATAGTAAAGGGGCCAATGCCCCTCATCAGGTGGCAGATAGACTATATTGGGCCTCTGCTCATATGAGAAGGGTATCAGTATGCCATGACTTGTGTGGACACAGCTACCAAACTGTTGGTTGCTTTTCCTTCACTTCATGCAGATCAGCAAACCACCAAAAGGGGCCTAGAGAGTCTCTTTGCAGCCTATGGCTGGCTACAGATGACTGAGAGTGATCAAGGCACCCGCTTTCCTGGACATACATTACAGGAATAGGTGCAGCAAATAGGAATAAAGTGGAAGTTTCACGTGCCATATAACCCGACCGAGCAGGCATGATAGAGAGGAACAATGGTTTGTTGAAATCTGGCCTAGAGTCAGATACCAATAGTCTAATGGGGCTGGTCAGTTTGTTTATGGACAGTGCTAAGGCGTATGAATGAGAAGCCCCAGAAAGGAGCCTTGAGACCTGTGGACATGCTGACACACATTGCTGCCTCTCCCGTATAACTGTATGTGCAAACCAAAGAGGAGTTATTGAAGCCAGGATATGGCCAGCAGAGGAAATTCTGCTGCCAGCCCCACCTGCATTAAACCCTGGAGACTCTATTGAGTGGATGTGGCCCTGGACATTTTGACACATGGACCAGCGATGGCTGGTCCTTCTGGCACCTTGGGGAAAAAACCTGGAAGCTGAGTGGCCCCCTAAGATAATGGTAGTGTACCAAAAATATCCCGGAGGTAAAAGCATCTTATGGGGAAGTTTTGTTTTAACTTTATGGCTAGTGCATGTACCTCCTGTAGCCCTATATATTGACACATCTGTAACTCCCACAGAGACTGGAGTAAAGTCTGGTATACTAGACAAGATTCCATTCCTGCCACTGTCCTATCACAGGACCACTCTCTTGCATTTCCTACCTGATGGACAAGATTTGCCTATGCTGATGTCATTAAAACATGTATCTTGTCGTCCTCAAGCTTATTTTCTTCTACAGTCCTTGTGCCCTGGACCCACCGCCCCTTAATCATTGCTGTCAACTTCCTACTGGTTCAGCTACTGACTGCCTGTGGAATGGGCGAGTTATGGATTTTGAATTTAGCAGAATCCTTTGGCTTGAGGATTATCATGATTTTATTGCTGTTGCTATTGTATGTTATTAGCCTGGTTACAGTGCTCCAGTTTTCTGGCACAGGGGCCAGTGTGGAAGATGGGGAGCAAATAGATTGTGAAGTGAAATTTTTGGAGGGGTGGGCTGTGGGTAAAATTGCAGTATTTCCAGAAACTCTTTCCTGGCTTTAGTGCATCTCCACAAAATAGTTGTTTGCATCGGGTGGAGAGAAGTAGTCGACCTCCGTATCAATAGGTAATTATTAGGGCGAGCGAGGGTTTATCTGGACAAGAGGTTGGTGGTGCCACTTCTCCTACAGCCGAGTCACCAGAGACACGGGAGGGTTAGAAGTGGGCTGCTTGTAAGAAATAAACGGGTTTCTTCCACTTTATTTCTCCCTGAAAGGTATTTCGCCCCGGGATTTGCCCCCCGGAGTTACAGAAAGGTACTTTATTTTCTCAGGCCACGGAGCAGAAGAGAAAGTAAAGCCGAGTTTGGTGGGAGGAAAGTGACAATGAGGCGGTAAAGTGTGAAACAGGGCTAATACAGAGAACGGTCGGGATTTAAAGTGGCCTGTTAGAGAGAAGAGTTAAATTTCTTTACCTCCGTGTGGACACTGCTCTCCGGAGGCGAAGAGGTTCGTCCAGGCCCCCTTGCCGCGCCGACAGAAACCCCAGCATACCGTTCCGCCACGGAGTACGGGCCGTGGGACGCCGCCATGACAGCTCGGAGGCGAGTCCAACAGCGGAGCCTCCCGTTGGTCAGGCGGCGATGCCCTCCGGCCAGTTGTGGGCGCCGTTACTGCAGGGCGGGCGGGGAGTGGCCGCGGGCGGAGTCGGGGGCTGGGGCGTTGCTGTTGGGGTCCCAGCGGGTCCCGCTGCCCCTCACGCAGCGCAGAGCACATGGCTTGGGCTCAGAGTGTTTTCAGCGCCCTGCGCAGATCGCTGTCAAAGGAAGTGAAGAAAAAGGTGGGCACAGACCGGTTCGGGAACAAATACTACTATATCCCGGAGTACAAGAACTGGAGAGGTGAGGGGAGAGTGAGGGCAGCGGTTGCGCGGTCAGAAAGAGGGGAAAGTGAGAGCGCCTCGGGAACGAACGCAACGTGCGACACACAAGATGTCACACGAGGGGAAGCCCGTTTACTCTGGCGCCGGTCCCGGAGCGCCTCCGCGCGCGGCCCCGCACTCCCTGTGCCCGGCCCTGTGCCGCTGCGCCGGGGTCCGGTCCGCCCGGTCGCGCCAGCGCGAGCCCACACACCTGTCCTCCCGCGCGGAGGGCGCCCCGGCAGGTCCTTTCCGCTGGGCGACTGGACGGGGACAAGTCCACGAGATCAATCAAAGGCCCTTGGGAGGAGCGGGCAAGTGACTTTCCTCCTCCTTTGCCCCCTTGCGACCAGGCCGAGGGGTGTAATTGAAGAGGTGTAACTGGAGCGCCTCCGCTTTCCTTTCTAATTGTTTACCTCTTGGCTAAGTAACTCAGGTGCTGGCCTCTCGCATCACCTTCCTCACAACCAAAACTGGTCAGAAGTAGGTCCATGCACACTGACCATGGAGAGGAGATCCCCACAGGGCTCCATGTTAACCTTTCCCATGAGTTCACACTCCAAGACCCGTTGAACTCACTTTAAGATTGGTGGCTCTTAACCGTTGTGCTTCTGTGTAGGTTTCATGCGAAGTAGTGGAGTTTGGGGAGCTAAGGGGTGTTCTTCTCCGTTAAAATCACACCAGGTAGCAGCCTTCATAACCTCTTCTCTGTTGTTCCATCACTGGGATGCAAAGGATCTCAGGCTTTGGGGTGAGAAAATCCTGTATAAGAATTTCAGCAGTGACACCTAATAGCTGAGGGATCATGGACAAAATATCCTTCCCCAGTCTCAGTCTCCTCACTTAAAAGTTAGAGGGGATGATGATAGCAATTATATCGAGCGGGCCTAAAATATTTCCAAAATTGTTTTCCATTCATTCCCTGTATCTCTTGACAAAGAGAATGACTCCTTCCTTCCTTTCTGGTAGAGCACAAAGTGCATTGGATGATTTATCACTCAAAATTGTTTTGTTTAGCCTTTTTCTAAGCAAAATAAATAAAATAAAGTAACTTATTTTAATATCTTAGGCTTGTTTCCCTAATGAACTTATATACTCTGTCAGGGCAGGGAATATATCTTTTTTAAAAAGTCCACAAAGAACTTGGCATGGTGGTGAAGTATTTCTTGACAGATTGCAAGGGAAAGATGTTTTGCTTCCATAAGATGTCAGTACTGTTAAAAAATGTACAGAACATCAGACTGACTTTTTTTTTATTGATGTATACTTTACATGCAGTAATAATCACCCTTTTTGGTGTATGGTTGTATGATTTTTGACAAAGGCTAGAGTCATGTAACTATCACGTAATCAAGATACAGTTCTATCACCCCAGAAATTTCCTACTAACCCTCAGTATTCATTCCCTCACTCCATACAAGCCCTTGGCAACAACTGGTCTGTTTTATGGCCCTATAGTTTTGCCTTTTCCAGAATGTCATTTAAAAAGAATTACACAGGGTGTAGTCTTTTGAATCTAGCTTATTTCATATAGCATAATGCAGTGAAGATTGATCCATGTGTCAGTAGTTGTTTCTTTTTATTGCTAAGTAGTAGTCCATTATGTAGGTGTACCACTGTTTTTTATTCACTCATCAAATGAAGGGCATTTGGGTTGTTTCTAGTTTTTGTTAATTGTGAGGACAGCCTCTGTAAACATTCCCACACAGGATTTTATGTGACTGTAAGTTTTCATTTCTCTTGAGTAAATACCTAGGAGTGGAATTGCTGTGTTGTGTGGTTAATGTATATATAACTTTGTAAGAAACTACCACACCATTTTCCAAATTGGCAATATTATTTTGCCTTCCTGCCAGCAATGCGTGAAAGCAGATTCATATCCTCACTATCACTTGGTATTGTCTGTTTGTATGTTTATTTTTGCCAATCTAACAGGTATATAGAGGTATCTCATTGTGGTTTTGATTTTCACTTTCCTAATGGCTGAGAATGTTGAGAATCCTTTCATGTACTTATTTTACCATCCATAGATTTTTGATGATGCATCTGTTCAAATCTTTTGCCTGTTAAAAAATTTTGTATCAATTTCATTGTGTCATTTCATTTCAAGGAAAATATAATATCATTACAGAAAGATTTAAATAAAAAAAATATTTTCTATCCAAAAATGACATAATTTATTAGTCAAAGGATATGTTCATCTTTAACTTTATTTTGATAACAAATTGTTTTCCAAAGTGCTTATGCCAATTTATACTTCAATTGGCTTGATTTGAATTCATATATTCTGGATGTGAGAAAATCAGGCTTTTATTGATGATGTAGGAGAATCATTGTATGCTGCTAATATGTCTGTATGCTTCACTTCTTAGATAATTGAGGCCTGCAACACAAGCATGTTGTACATTCTATAAATACTGTTACACATTTCCTAAGTGAGAAATATCTTTAGTTTGTTTTAAAGCAAGTTTTCCAAAAATGAGTCATCTGGCTTTCCTATTTCTTTGATAAGAAAAGTGGTTCTTTGAAAGTTTCCTTGAGTGTTCTTTGAATTGGATAAACTTTTGTGCATTTAATATCATCAATGAAGAATATTTAGGAACTCTTTAGAGTAAATTACTTTTTCTTGTAATTCAGATGGTGTAGTACCAGTCATTAAAAAGCTATGTTTTCCACAAAAGATATTATCTCATGAGAGAAAAGATACTGTTATATAATTCAAAATAAGTCTCTTGAATAATTTAAGTTTAGGATTGATTGTTGAAATTGTAACTTTAAAAAAAAGCATATTGGCATAACAAAAAAATTACAAATATGACATTAGTTATTATGTGACTGTAAGTTTTCATTTCTCTTGAGTAAATACCTAGGAGTGGAATTGCTGTGTTGTGTGGTTAATGTATATATAACTTTGTAAGAAACTACCACACCATTTTCCAAATTGGCAATATTATTTTGCCTTCCTGCCAGCAATGCGTGAAAGCAGATTCATATCCTCACTATCACTTGGTATTGTCTGTTTGTATGTTTATTTTTGCCAATCTAACAGGTATATAGAGGTATCTCATTGTGGTTTTGATTTTCACTTTCCTAATGGCTGAGAATGTTGAGAATCCTTTCATGTACTTATTTTACCATCCATAGATTTTTGATGATGCATCTGTTCAAATCTTTTGCCTGTTAAAAAATTTTGTATCAATTTCATTGTGTCATTTCATTTCAAGGAAAATATAATATCATTACAGAAAGATTTAAATAAAAAAAATATTTTCTATCCAAAAATGACATAATTTATTAGTCAAAGGATATGTTCATCTTTAACTTTATTTTGATAACAAATTGTTTTCCAAAGTGCTTATGCCAATTTATACTTCAATTGGCTTGATTTGAATTCATATATTCTGGATGTGAGAAAATCAGGCTTTTATTGATGATGTAGGAGAATCATTGTATGCTGCTAATATGTCTGTATGCTTCACTTCTTAGATAATTGAGGCCTGCAACACAAGCATGTTGTACATTCTATAAATACTGTTACACATTTCCTAAGTGAGAAATATCTTTAGTTTGTTTTAAAGCAAGTTTTCCAAAAATGAGTCATCTGGCTTTCCTATTTCTTTGATAAGAAAAGTGGTTCTTTGAAAGTTTCCTTGAGTGTTCTTTGAATTGGATAAACTTTTGTGCATTTAATATCATCAATGAAGAATATTTAGGAACTCTTTAGAGTAAATTACTTTTTCTTGTAATTCAGATGGTGTAGTACCAGTCATTAAAAAGCTATGTTTTCCACAAAAGATATTATCTCATGAGAGAAAAGATACTGTTATATAATTCAAAATAAGTCTCTTGAATAATTTAAGTTTAGGATTGATTGTTGAAATTGTAACTTTAAAAAAAAGCATATTGGCATAACAAAAAAATTACAAATATGACATTAGTTAGCATGTTCAATAACAGTGTTAATCAACATATTTTTATTGAAAGTTTGCTTGCTCTATGGTAGATAATTTAGTAAAAGATTCCTCAAATAAATTTTGTCTGGAAAATTCCTTCATTATTACACCCTTCTTATTTATAGTATCTCCCTTTTTTACCTATCTGGTTCTATGTATGTTGTGTTTCAAAAGGTAGTTTTCTTCCTTTCTAAGATAAATTCTGTATTTGTATTACTTAATTCCAACTAGAACCTCTTTGAACCTTGTTTTATTATTTTCACCTCCTTCTTTTGTATGTTTATTAAACATCTGCACCCAGTTAAAACCAACAAGTTGATTACTGAAGGACTATTTTGACTTGTTAATTTGCTAACCGATACTGTGAATGACCAAATTTGGGAGGGGTGTGAATTTATGCATAATTTGCAAAAACATTGGTTTGGATTATTGTGTTTGTTTCTGGACACCACACTTCAAAAGAGATGGTTGAAAATCTAGTGTCTAGGCAGAGTTAGTTATGATGATGAAAATTTCTAGAAGTTTTATCTATGAGTCTGTGAATCTTTTGGAAATTTACCCTGTGAAGAGAAAAATTAGAAGGTTTAGAAGATTTAAGAGATTCAGGTATTTGAAAGATTGTTGTATAGAAAAGGATTAGGCTCATCTATATAGCCCTTTAGCTAAGAACTTAGATCAGAGGGTAGATGTTTAACCTTTTTATAAGAAACAACCTTCAGACTGTTAGAGCTATGCTGGAAAAGGAAGAGAGTGCCTTGTGTTTAATTGTAGCTGGGAGAATTAAGGGAGATAGGGAGCTGCAAACATTTGAGTAGAACACCTTGAATGATAAATACAATTTCAGAAAGAATGGTAAAGAGTATTCCTGGTCAGGGATAGGAAGGGGTAGGAAATACCACAGAGTTTAGAAGGTAGTCCCCATGTGGGTAGGCTTCAGTGTAGAAGAACAAGAGAAAGTGTTATAATGTGGGGATAGACAAGGTCAGATTACGGAAGGACTCAAATACTACTATAGTTTGAAATTTCTTCT